TAGCCTCAGCACCAAATATGGATTGGGCAAATCTCTGCACCTGTTAATGGATTGGGAGCCTGTCCACCGGATCCAGTAAATGACTCCAGCCGTTTCCTGTCGTGATAATAGTTGCTTCCGGCCTGTACGGTTGCCTAGGATTCTTAACAGAATCCGGAGCCCCAGGAAAATAAAATTTGTGTTCCATTGATCGTATCTCCTACTCCTGAAATGCTTTCTGGAACTCGCATGTTCCATCCTAATTTTTTTACAGTTTTGTTAAGGTATTTTATCAATCTGTTAGAAACCCCGCATTTTTTTCAAGTCAACGCTGTCTATATTTTGGAAATGATGGCCGATCCAGTCATTACTTTGATTTGTTTCTCAAACACTTTTAACGTTATTTACTTGTTTTATTTGAAAATATGAAGCCATGTGAGTTATGCGTGGATGCAATAGCCAAGATTATTACAACGGTAATTCCACTGTTTGCAAGATCATTCGCATGGAGCAGTGAAAAACAGTATGGCGTTTTCCTGTACCTATGAAACAGATACCAGTTCTGATATCGAGCACTTGCTTACCGACCATGACTTCTAGGAATTTGTCACCGAGCGGTCTCTCGAACGTGCTAACCCTAGCCAAACCAAGTTCTACCTAATGCGTTTTCAAATCCACCAATTACAAAGGTCAATGCCTTCAACCACATGCAGTTTCGCAGGAAGACTATATGCTTTTTGGAGGTGATTTTTAAAAATCACACCTCAGCTGTGGACATCAAACCTCGTTGTTTTAAAAAATCTGCAAAATTATTCAGGGCATGTAATAAGTACTCACTATAGGAAACTACTGAAGCGAACAGGCTATGAAACTGAATGCTATCTATTTTGCCCAATATTGCGAATAATTGATAATTCCTGCTGGCATACTCTGCGACTTTCAGTTTACTGTTACGAATCGTCACCACTTGGAAGAAGAACGGCCCCCACCACGCACAGGGGAAACTGTAAGACGCACAATCAGCATTCGGCGGGTTTTGGTAACTATCCTCCGTCTGGGCTTCTGGACCCTCATCCTAAAGTACGGCTTTGGATCAATTGACTTTATAGGCCAAATGTGTGGACCTGTTCGCAGAATCTCTCGAGGTCTCAATGTTCTCCAGTTGGACGGTTTTCTCGTGTACTTCATCGCTTTCATCAATGTTGGCAAGTTCCACCTCTTCTATGTACTGGCTTACGGCTACTGCATGATAGTTGGCGATCTTCAACAGTTTATGCTTTCTCCACTCTTTGCAAAGGAGACCTTACGCCTGGTTTTGGAACCGCAGGATACTCAATCGGAATTTTTGCTAAAATCCACTCAGGATTTGAGTATTGTCGAAGATCTTATTTCGTCAGAGGTGACAATAAACTGTCTTATGCCTGACCCTCCGCGTTGTCCACTTGGAACGTTACAAAGCTCAGAAGTGTGGAGGTAAATGTGCAATTCCTCTCCACCATACTTTATAATTTTAAATTATGACTTCAGACTACCATGATCTTGAACTCCCTCTTCGTACAGAGCAGCTATGAAATGCAGAACATGTGGCGTTGCCAGTAATGGAACTGCTTAAAAAGTGCAGACAGTAAAAAACTCCTTGGGCACTGTTCAGAATTCTAGGGGTTTCGACGCCATTTGAGGGATTCTAAGGAGAAAAACTGTCGCACGAGGGAGGGGGTAGAGTATATGCAAATCGGATGGTCTGCCGCTGAAAGTGTTAGAAGAATGTCAGGAGCAGCCCCTCGCGGTTCTTATCAATATTATATGGATCACACGAAGAGAAGATCGCAGAGGTCACGAGAACATCACCGAGTGTCGGAGATGCGCCCATCATACGTCCTTGCTGGTTACCGAGTCTGCCAGGTGACGAAACACGGGGCCACACCATGACCCTCGACAGTCGGCCATGGACAGCCATTAGGAAAAACTTGAGATGATCGCGTAGCCTAGGACAGCAAGGTTTGGCGGGGGTGATTGATGCAATTTATATAAAGGGAAGTTTATTATTTAGTTATTCTAAACAAGCATATTACTGAAAATTAGCGAGCAGTATGTTTTATTTATAGCATGTAATTACTCTGCTGTGTCTGGCTCCAATTCAGAGGACGTGTTTGCTATACTGGTTCAATTCAATCTTAAAGGTGCTCACACATGGGCACATGACAGTGTCCGCGGGCAGAGCATTCCATGCCTGAATTACCCCTTAGAGAAAAATAAATTTCGTGTGTCCAATCTTGCCCCAGTCGCAAGAAGTTTGAGAGGATATCCGCGCAAGGTAGTGGTAGTGACCAGCTTAAAGACATCGTTTGATGCTAGGCAACAATTCTGACACCGCAGCATGCGAAATGCCTGTATTAGGTCACCGCGTAGCTGTCTGTAATCCGGCGGAAATAAGTCAAGATTAATCTGTCATGTCTCATAAGGAAGGCACGCTTGACCTCGCACCAACTTAGTTGCGCGTCGTTGTATTCTTTCAAGGATTTTTCGGCATTTGACTGACCAATGTCCCTAGGTCTGGATGGCAAACTCCGATTGGGGTTGTATAGTAATCACTAACCTTAATTTAATGCTCCCAGGGATTCTCCCGACTATCCTTTTCTAGATCCTCTGTCTACTTACTGGCAGGGCTGGTTCTGAAATGCCCTCGAAATATCAAACACTTAGGTTAAAACTATAATAAGTTAATTTCTTTTCCTAAAATTCCTGCATTATAACTTCGTATACCGGGTGACAATGTTTCTGAAATATCAGAAAACAATTTGAAACGACCGCCAAAGCTGCTACCACGAGTGCCCTGTCAACACAACTCTTCAATCAAAACAATATCTAAGGTTCAAGATTTCTGGAGCCTTTCTACTGGAGTAAGGATACCTGCCGCAATCATCGAGTTTTAACTCGTTCTTGGATTAGCAGATCCCGTAAAAAAGGTCCTCAAATTACTTCTTAAAACTTAACATATCTACTGTCTGGCAATCAATGGCGCGTTTTACAATGCTAGAGAACTGAATCTAAGAGCTAATGTGTTTCGCAAACTTTCAAATCTTGAATTCAAAAAAATATTTCGGCTGCTCTGATGTTTTTTTTCTATAATGTTTACGATTACTATGACTGGATACGGAATTTGTCTGCGGATTGTGCAACCGATTTAGCAAACGTGCAGGAAACGCGAGAATCAGGGTGTCATTCCCGTTCTCTATGATGTGAGTCATGCTTACAAAGGCTATATTTGCCCAAACAGCCAACACTATCTACGTCATTGTTAGACACTGAAGTGACCCCTTATTATAACTGCTATTTCAAGCAAATAAAGACGCAGTCAGTGAAAAAAAAACACCTTTAGAACACAATACATTTAAAGGGCTACAGAACAGTTCCAGACATATTTGTGTTTGCCCTATACCAACTTCTCCTTCCTGTTTTAGAACCTTCGACAGAGGTCTCTACATCGTAATGAAACAGTAAGCCCATACAACATTTTAATAATTTAAAAGTATGTGCACCATGTTATACTGACGAGTTCAACGTCGCTAGTGTTATAAAGATGACATCTGACATGTGTCACCGTCGAATTACGCCCTGTTGAAATCCCTAAGGAAGAACATAATAAGAAGGGCATACTTCTGGAATCCACCCGGAGGAGCTGTCTCGGGTGACTGTGGCAGCTGATTTGATCTCCAGCGCGCTCTTTGTCCCGCCTAGGG